ACGTTCGTATAAATGTACTTATATTCTAAAATGTTTAGTTTTGAAAATTTTACAATTTGTAGACAAAGGTACAAACGGAAAAAAAAAGAGAATACAAGACAAGTATACAAATTACATTGTCTTATTGTTTAAAATAAACATATGTTTATAATGTTATGGATTTGATTTCAAATGGCAGGTGATTAGGTTAGGTTAGGCTTTGCGAAATGAAGGAAATTATGTTATGGCTTTGATTTCAGATGGCAAGTGATTGTGCATTTTTTTCGAGTTGTATATAAGTATGGAACCTTTAACTAACTCTGAGCATGGGGTAGGTAGATAAAGATCTTGCTCCGCATTCCTGAATGGATAAGTGTGAGATGGCCTTTCTTGAGAAGCTGATACATGCTTACTTATTAGGCAAACGGATTCAAATATAAATAAGGAAGGAAGAGTTAATATTTTTAATATTTTAATAAAGTCCTGGCAATGAGTTGTTGTGCTGTTTAGTCCCAGTGAATATCGAACAGCTCTCTTCTGGAGCTTGAAAATGCGGTCAAATTGAGTCGCACAACACGTACCCCAGAATGGAAGGGCATACCTGAGGTGCGACTCAAAAAGTGCATAATAAACAGTTCTATCCACTGACAAGTTAAGCTCCTTAGAATTAGAATCTTAATGGAAAACAGGCAGAGCTTAATTTATCGACGCTTTGTCGAAAAAATGCATGTCCCATTTTAGAGAATTGTCTACAACAAGCCTTAAGAATTTTACAGATTTTACGACGTCAATGGTGGTGTTGTTAAGTACAAAACGCTGCAGCGAGTTTTAATACGACAAAGCTTTAGTTTTAGAAATGTTGAGACTCAGGAGGTTCGAATCGCACCAAGATTTAATGGTGATTAAGTCATTTGATATAATCCTATGAAGTGCTGTGACGTCCTTGTTGCTCCTAGTGTCGTCCGCAAAAAGACATATTTTACCACTGATGTTTATGTTAGCAATGTCGTTAATAAAAAGAAGAAACACAATAGGGGACACTGAGCCTTGAAGTACCCCACATTCAATTGGCTTGCTAGAAGACAACGTGGTATCCACCCTCACAAGTTGACTTCTGTTGCTCAGATACGACTTAAACCATTCGAGAGATAGCCGAGTGGCGCTAGCGGAGCCGAAGTGATGCAGAATTTTCTTTTAGATTGCATTCCCTCTATTAAATGGAATCTCATATGGAAACCAGATAAGGTGCTCTTTAGAAACAACGTATGTTTAAAATTCCAAATTTTGTATAAACCTACAAATAGCAATATTCAAATCACTGGTCTATTAATATAATCTCATCTTCTCATTCACCCCATTTCCTTAGTAACAAAAAAGTACTTCTCGGGCCTATCGCTACATTTGTTGACAAGTGTATTATTTTTTTCCAGCAGTAACGAGCAGCAGGTTCAAAGAAACACAAGCGTCTGCTAGCTGGAAGCAGTGGCAGGGGGCAGAGGGCGAGGTTCTGGGAGCTAGAGGGGAAGACAGACGCGGCGCGGGGGTAAGCGTTGTCTCGTCCCCATGGTAACGGCAAGGTCGCGAATTTGCCTCCCCTCTGCCCCTCCGCCCCACAGAGCCAACGCTCTCTTTTCCATAGCCGCCTTATTTCTTTTTTCTCTCTGTTATCCTGCCGTGCGGATTTTTTTTCCTATCTTGCCTGCCGCTTTGATCGGCGATACGACAATATTTTTTGAAAGAAAAGAATATGAAAATCGAAAATTAATAGGAGAACGTCCTGGTTGAAGTAGTTACTCAAAATTTATCAGTTGTGTATCCTCGCATTTTTTTTTGCTTTAAATACTTGGAATATGCTCATTAAGGAAATTCGTTACTTTCCTAATAGAATTCGTTGTTTTTGGATCATAATAAAATCTATAAGTTGGGGGCTTGTCCACATTTGAACGAAATTATTGAAATAATTTTGTAACTTTCTATGTTACTTTTTCTTATGAGTCGACCATATTTTTTCTCTACGAAAACTTTCGAAAACGATTTGGTCATCTGTAGTCATGAAATCGACGAGTTTCATTTGTCCGAGGGGTGTCTCACTGTTGGTTATATTGCAGACATATGTATAGGCAATCTTAGGCAATCTTATTCGCCGTCATTGGCAGTCGCTTGGCAGTAAAATGATATTTTGGCAGAACATGTACATTTTTGACGCAAACGAGACCCCTTCGGATTTGACCGAGTGAAAAAAGTTGTTCAGAGATATTAATAAATAAATAGAAGAAACATTTTTCAGCCTTTTTTAAAAAAATTATTAAAAATGCAAGAACTGTCCTAAAATCAAAACTATATTATGTATTTACGTTAGATGATTTAGTACTTACTTCGCTATAAATATCGTAATCTTAAATCATACAGGATGTTCAAAATTCTACGCCAAACTTTCTAAAACATAAAATAAATTTTCTTCGTTTTTTTTTAAATAGAAACACCCTGTATATTATTTTTTTAGTTAATGAAGAATCAAAAAATGAACATTTTTTGTATTAAGGGTATTTTAAAATTTTCCATTTAAAATAACGAAGAAAAAATATTTTCCCTGTTAACACCCTGTATAAGATTACGATATTTGTAGCAAAGTTAAGTATAGACCATCTGAAGTAAACACCTAAGACATTTTTGATTTCAGGACAGTTCTTGTATTTTTAATATTTTTTTTTTTAAAAAGAAAAAATATTTTTTTTTTATTTATTTATAAATATCTCTGAAACTACCAAAACTTATTTAAAAATATCTTATCAAACCGGGATCCCGGTCCCGAAAATTGTAGACTCTCCTCACAAACGAAAAGCATGTCATTTTGGTGATTTTTTAAGATTGATGACATTGAGCTGATTTTTTTTCATAATTTTTTTACTAAAGTATTTTTAAACCATGGTAAGTTTGTTCGACAAAATAAATTTTCTTATTTTCGAATCAGATGAATCAAAGTGAAATATCATGACCACAGATGAATGAAGATAGAAGTTTTTGCAGAGGAAAAAGTGGTAGTCTCGTCATATTAAAACAACACAGAAAGTTATAAAAGGATTTCAATAATTCTACTCATTTAATGTAGCCTCCAGCTTATTTTATTAGGTAACAATACAATAAGCGATAAACAAAGATAGTATTTTGAGCTACAAATTGCTACTAAAGTTAAATATTAAAAGTAAAAAAATAAAATATTAATAAGTGCAGTTTTCAGACAGTTTTTTTTTTCGATTAAAACATTACATTAGTAATTAATATTTACAAATTTACACCGCCTGAGAATTTTTCTGCTAATTTGTCACTAAATTTTGCAGCAGTAATAGATTCCATTTTTTTGTGTTTTACTTTTTTTAACTTCGGCCGTACCTTTTTTTTAATTTTTTTCTCTCCAAATATGAATTCTCTAAAATAGGAGAATATGAAAAAGACAATTAAGCAAGAATTACATACTCGCCAAATTAATTATTCAAGAATTCTGAAAATTATCCATTTATTAATTTTCTGGTCTATCGCATGACTTTTTGAATTATGTATTATGAAAAAATACATACCATTTTTTAATTGATTTCTTATTAAGTATGGTTCGGCTATAGAAATTAAGATATTTTGAATATTTTTCTCATTAATCGTTGTTAATTGGTTGGTGGACAAATTAACAAAGAAAAAAAGAGTAGATATATGAATAGTAAGATTGTTAATAAATTCATTTTTTATTGACATTGAACACTCTGACAATATATTTTTTTTATTTTTTTTTAGAAAATACAAGATATAGTAGGTATACGAGATAAGATAATATTTATGAAAAGTAAAAAGGTGTTCCATTTAAAAAAACGAAGAAAAATTATTTTATATTTTAGAAAGTTTGGCGTAGAATTTTGAACATCCTGTATGATTTACGATTTTCATATTTATAGCAAAGTAAGTACAGACCGTCTAAAATAAATTCTTGATATAGTTTTGATTTCAGAGCAGTTCTTGTATTTTTAATAATTTTTTAAGAAGGGCTGAAAAATATATATTTTTGATTAATTTTTTAACATCTCTGAAACTATCGAAATATATTTATTCATATCTTAGGGTTATCAAGTGATCTGAAAGAAATCCAAAAATGCAATAATATACAGGGTGTTCTATTTAAAAAAAATCATCCAGGTCCACTCACACTTTTTTGAGCCACCCTATAGAAAATATTTTCCTGAAATACATACATCCGGTACATACTTTAGGTTTGCACTGAAACAAAATTCTGAAGTTTTTTAATTCTAGGAGCTACAGATGCCCGACGCACTATTGCCGGACCCTGTATACTATTTTTATTTCTATTCTATTCAAAGTCTAATAATTATATTAATTAATTAATATACTCGTAATTATCATTAAAAAAACTGTTAGTCTAAGACAATATCTTTAATAGCAGTCATAGAAAAGTTATTCCAAAGTAGTTCTGAAGTAAAACTTTATTGGATTTGGCAATTTTTAATATAACATTATCATAAAAACGTGTTCTTAATTATATACTATATTATGTTAATAATGTTGTTATCCAAAGGATGCAAATTATTTCATAATTTGCACGCTACGAAATATAAGAAGCTGTTTTTCTTGTCAATATTTTATAATAATTTGCGGAAGCCTACGTACCTAGTATCTGGACTAATTCGAAAATTATAAGATAGATATAATACTCAAACAGATAAATTATTGAAAAACGAAATAAAATTAGCATTAACATTAATGGAAAACAAATTGTCTTGGCATTTATATTAATGATTTGTAGACCTATATGGAAAATGATGATTATTAGTTCCTTATCATTAGAGACGGTAGACTTCTTAAGTTAATCACTGTTTCGAGTTACATTTTACTCGGTTATGTTGCAAAAATAACGAATCTATATCTTTAATTGACAGTAGCGATATTATTGATTGTGCTTCTATTAATGATAGAAAATAAATGAGACAACTAAATATATAATATTAATTTATTCATTTCAGTGTGGTCAACATGGAAAGGACGATTATCCGAATTGGACAAGAAATACAATGGGTATGGGAAAACAGGGCTACGAGTCAAAAATGAACGAGCACAATCAAATGCAGAAAGGTAAGCTATATATTTACTAAAAGAGTGACTTAAATATAGTTATAACCAAAGACATCTAAATAAAGGGAGACAAAACAATCTACATTTTATCGTGATCACGAACCGTGTTCCGCAAAAATCGATAATGACAGATTTACGCGGTATGTGATAGAATACGGTTCGAGTTCCAAATGTTATTATTGTTATTAATATTTTTGGGTACCTATAGAAACGTTAAACTAAATATTTGTATAGGTATCTATATAACTTTAATTAATTTACATAGATTGTGCCAGGATTATACCTCTGAAATTATTTTTAGTTTTCTAATTAAATTATATTAGGGAAATTACAATGACAACTAGCAGCATCGCTGTGGATTCATCTTTACTACGAAATTGTCGAAATCTGTAGGAATTACGCTGACATTTGACTTTTCATTTGTTTTCATTCAACTTATATTTGACTGCGCGCGGTTGTGAATTTTCTGCGGTAGTTGAAAGTTTGTGTAGCTTTTGAACAACTTTCTAATAATTGTTAGTGTTTATTGCAAAGAAAACTATTTAAAGTAGTTTTTAACTATCTACGATGGTTCGCCAGTGTATAGTTTGTAAAAAGGTGGATTATTCTATCCCGGAATTGATATTTCGACTGTAAGTGTCATTACGTGTTTTACCTTTAGCCATGATTTCTATCATATCTTTTCATCTATCTAAATACGCTACTATAGCGTATTTAGATACTTTTAGTTATAAGTAGATTATTACAAAAATACGTATATTTTCTTATTTGTTGGCGCTTTCGATTGTGAAATTAGAGTTACCCTCAATTAGACCTCAGGCAAAACTAGTTATAATCGAAAATTAGTCTGAGGCAACCCCAATCAATTTTTGATAAAATTCATTAATTTTTGATAAAAAAAAACATCACACTACCGTCACGTCACTGATAGAGCCAAATGACAGAAAGATAGACGAAACTCAACCGTGTTGTCATATTTATGTACCCATCTCTTTTTAACTCTCATAAAAGTGTCAAACCATGTATGATTCTAAAAAAATGAGTTTTATGAATGGTGTTCTGTCTACCCATTTAGATGTCTTTGGATAACTAATCAGCTTCAGTAGAGTTTTACTGAATATTTAACAATTGGGGGACGACAGTCAAAATATTTACTGTTAATGACTTGTTAAATTGACAAGTCCCTGTTTAAAGCTTGAGTTAAAGTTAGAACAAGTATTACAATTAAGTAAAAAATGGCAATCTAAATCTTAGAACATTTTTATCTCTTTCCAATTTTAAAACATAATGTCTGTTCAATATTCAGTTACTCTAGCTTATAGTAAACTTTGGTTAATCTATAAACTAATAATAAAAACGATATATGTTTTACTTATCTTAACTACCATTATGTAAATTTCGAAAAGAACAAGAAACTCAAAAAGATCAAGAACGTAGAAAAAGAGTGTGATAGTAACGATATGGATTGACAAAAATAGTTTTAAATAGTTTATTACATCATTTAATGTTCTATGGATGTTTTAAATATAGGTACCAGAGAAATTTTGTTTTCAATATAATCTATCACCAAAGCAAGAGTAATGATATATAAAGCAACCCCAGAGTTCCCAATTGGCAATGGAGTACTACATGGAGACATAATATCCCCAAAGCTGTTTACAGCAACACTAGAAGAAATCTTCCGTCAACTAGACTGGAATAGCAAAGGATGAAAAGTAGATGGAGAATATCTTAACCAACTAAGATGTCATCAGCGAGACATAGTCCGAATTACCAATAGTCCTGAAGAATTATAAGCACAAATTATCGAACTAAATACAGCCAGCAATAAAGTAGGTCTCAAAATGAACTTAGCAAAAACTAAAGTAATGTATAACGAACTAGTAGAAAGAAAAGACATTCTAATAAATAACACAACGTTCGAAATAGTAGAAAAATACATATATTTGGGACAACTAATACACAGCTCGGGATATTTACTACCAGAAATCATCCCAAGATTTAAGTTAGCATTGAGTACTTACGGAAGAAACTCAATCATATTCAAATCTAGAATTCCACTTTATCTAAAGAAGAAAACATTAGACCAACGTGTCCTGTCAGTCATGACCTATTCATGCGAAACTTGGGCACTTAAAACGGATATGATAAGGAAATTGCAGGTCGCACAACTCAATAGAACAAAATATGCTGGGAATAACAAAAGATCCAGGTAATAGATGTCATCCACAGAGTCAAACACCTCAAATGGCAATGGGCAGGACACCTGGCAAGAAGGACGGACATCAGATGGACCACAAAATATTACAGCATGTTACCCACGAGAAATTAAGAAGCCTAGAAGAAGACCGAATCTTAGATCATAGTTAGTTAACAACTAATAGACATAGCTAACAATAGACAACAATGGGCCCAATTACAAAGAGAGTATCTAAATATGTGAGGGAGGCTACACCATAATCGGAAATGGTTGAATAAGCTGAACATTATGTTGATGATACAATTTCTTTCATAACAAGGGACCGTCCTCTGCCGGAAACACTGCGACCTGTGAGGCCTATTGTGTTTGTCCCCTTTCTAAATCTGTACCCTATCCCTGTGCCCTGCACTAACTTATGCAGGTCCTTGATAGGATGGGACCATAGTTCCTCCGGTTCTAGCCTAGCTTTCCTAAATAAAAAAGTGTCGCTTGCGATCCAGTCAGGATCTTTATTGCAGAGTCTGGAGCAAAGACTTCCTTGATACAGGTTGAGCTTGTTTAGGTAACACTTGACAGCTATGTGTCCTGTCAAGAGGCCTGTTGTAATCTGCAAAAATATCTGCACTTTATTCCTGCTAAGCATTATGCTGAGAATAAAAAAAAAACAGGAATAAAGTGGAGTAAGGATTATGCATTATTATGCTAAGCATTCTGCTTTTGCGGTTTTAGAGCTATGTCCTTGGATAAAAGCCTTGCTGTGCCTGTGCCCCTGTCTCTTTCTCCAATGGGCATTCTGATTTTCCCTGATCTGAGAGTTTTAGTGCACTACGGGTCATACATTTGGGTATTCCCAGTTTGATGCTACCATTATGTAGATTTTGAAAAGAACAAGAAACTCAAAACAAGAACATAGAAAAAGTGTATGATAGGAACGATATGGATTCCCAAAAATAGTTTTAAATAGTTTGTTACATCATCATTTAATTATCTACGGATGTTCTAAATATACTCTTTTGTTTCCAATAGTATCTATCGTAGAAATTTCTAATTTAATCTCACTCTCTCATTAAAATTTTCATTCTATTTAATAATGAGTGGCAGTAGCGAATCCAGGTTTCGGGAAGAAGGGGGGGGGGCTAGACACAAAATTTTACTCAAAGTACATACTCCGGAGTCGTTTCCGATAAAATAAATTAATAATATTGTATTACATGGCTGAACCTGAGTTTGTCAAGGATTTCCGAGCTATAATGAATCCAAAAAGGATATCCAGATTAAAGTGAATACTCCAGCTACACTTTGCATAATTTAGAATATCCGTGGATGTCTCTAATTTAGTAACACTTCTAATATTTAAAAAGAGTTTATGTTTAAAAGTATCGAAGATCTCAGTTCGCTACTATCCCAATTCTAGCATCGTTAATTCAATGAATTTAATTTAACTGCATTAACAACCACTCCATAACCATATGCAGTATCCCTTATAAATAATTGAATGTTTGAAGTTAGTGCCTCATCCATCCCTGGAGGAGACGGTGCATCCATATATTTTTAATTAAGTTTATAGTTGAAGGAGAAAAAAATAAAAACTAGGAAAGTATAATAATAAAACGCTAGACTGGGTGCCGTAAAATTTGGTTTGTTTTTATTTTGCTGCAAGGGCCGTAAAAATATACTTTTATGTTTATGTCTATCCCATAAAAATTCTGCTTGCTAATCTTTTTTATTTTATCCCTTTTATTTTTTATTGCCGCCGAACGTAATAGAAGCCGTCTTTTCTCACTATATCTAATAGAATTTTCAGCTGACGGAGAATATAAAAATATAATTAGAATGTGTTATAAACAATACATAAATATACATGGGTTCATGCATACTGTACTATAAGGAAAACCTTTTCATATACAGGGTGTCTCAATATTTCGTGGAAATAGAAATACTATATTTTTTTGGAATCCATATAAATTCATTGGATACAATTTACCTCTATACAAAAGTGCTTCGTTTGTCCGTTACACGGCATCAAACTTTAAAAACATTTTTAATAAGTAATTTTTAATAAGTAAATACATTTTTAATAAGGAACCACATTTTTTTAATAAGCAAAGAATAAGTAAAAGAGTAGTGGTAAATAGTAAAAGGCACCCTCGGAATTTTTTTTACTTTATTCGATAGAAAATATCATTCTGAATAGAATGACATATCATATTTTCCGCATATGGCTTATTTGAAATTATAACTTGCGGTTCGTAACGAAAATTTGACTCGAAATACCAAGTGCGTGGTATAAAATTATAAAAAAATTCGTTGTTTTTTAGACCAAATATAATTACTTTCGTTTTTGATGGATTTAATCGTAAATTGTTGTCATTAGCTTATGTTGCAATATTATTTAGATTATAATTAATTAATATACACACATGGCCAAAATTATTGCATATAACGATATTTTTATTTTATTTTGGACCTAATATGATTCTTTTTATATTTTTGGACATATTACTATACCACTACCTAATATAAAATTAAAAATCTTAGTGCAACTAGGCTGTTATAATTTTATTTCATAATGAGTAATCAACAAAAACAAATTTCATTTTAAACAGAAAATATTGAAAACAATTTTATTTCTCACGACTAATAGTCTGTATTGCCTCCTCGAGCCTCAATGCAAGCTGTGAGATGACGTGGCATACTCTCAATTAAGTTGTCCAGAAGATGTTGAGGAATGGCTTCCCATGTTTCGCACGCAGCAATTTTCATTTCATTTAAGGTACTGGGGGATCATTCCTTTTGGCAG